GCGAGCAAGAACACCAGCCTTGAGTAAAAAAAGAGGAAGTCTCGAGCGGGAGCGTTGTTGTTGTTGTTGTTGTCGTTGTTGTTGTTGTTGAACATTATTTATTCTAAAGAAAAAAAAGAAACGAAACGAAGATAAATATATTGTTGGGCCCCCTGTTGCGCGCCCCCCTGCGACCGCCGCTAGCGCCAAAACAATTGGTAAAAAAGGAAGCTACATTTTCATCATTTTTGTGAGGAAGCCTCAGAAAAGAGGGTGTGTACAGGATCCGGCTGTTTTGTTGTAATCCGCTTTCCCTTGCAAAAAACAATAGAAAATGCCATTTCTTGTTCTAATATAATCAAATTTCAAAAATCCCTTGCAAAAAATAAGGTAAAGTGGACATTCGCGCGCGCAAGACGAAACCCTTCCAAAACCTTGGTTTAGTGTTCGCAGCGATTAAAAAAAAAAGAAAAAAAAAAATAAAAAAAAAAAATATTAAAAAAACATAAAAAACATAAAAAACCAATGGTTTTTCAACAAAAACTTGTCAAAATCTCATCCCGCGCGCTCTTGCGGATTCGTAGGAAACCCAACACTTTTTAAACATTTCTGTCACACGGGCTTTTGCGAGCAACTTTTTCGAACTTCTGCAACAACGGTTGCGCACCTGCCAGGGCCATCATCCCTGTCAAATAATACCATGCGGGACAAATTCGTTTTTTCTTCGCGCGCGCACGCCGTCGTCGTCGGCCGCGGGGCCCTGAATAGTAGCCACGGTCGTCCGCATGCCACGAAGTGAAGTGTCCGAACGTCATAGGGCGGGAAGCTGGGTGTGGGTGGTGGCGAAGAGTCGTTTGGAAATTTGGTAGAGCTTGAACCGGCCCCCACAAAGTGGGGGTATTGCCCGCCTCCTATGAAAACCCTGGCACTGGTGAGAACGGAGTGTCCCCACGTGCTAGTAATTGCTGTTGTTGTTGTTATTGTTGTTGTTGTTGTTGTCGTTGTCGCTGTCGTTGTCGTTGTCGTTGTCGTTGTCGTTGTCGTTGTCGTTGTCGTTGTCGTCGTTGTCATCGTTGTCGTTGTCGTTGTTGTTGCTGTTGCTGTTGTTGAACATTATTAATTCTAAAGAATAAGTATTGTTTGGACCCCTGGTGCACGAAAGGCCCCCCTCTGCGCCGCCTAGGCCGCAGCTACATTTTCATCATTTTCGTGAGGAAGCCTCAGGTAATCCGATGTGATCAAGATCCGGTTGTTTTGTTCCCCCCCGCTTTCCCTTGCAAAAAACACTATAAAATGACATTTCTTGTTCTAATATAATCAAATTTCAAGAATCCCTTGCAAAAAAAAAAGGTAAAGTGGACATTCGCGCGCGCAAGACGAAATCCTTCCAAAAGCTTAGTGTTCGGAGCGATTTTAACATACAAACATCAAAAAACCAATGGTTTTTCAACAAAAAAAATGTCAAAATCTCATCATCCCCCGTTATCCCGCCCGGCTCCCGCAAGCTCTCTTCATTTTCTTTACTTTTGTCATTAGTTTTTTTTATCTGGAATTAGGTGTGTTCTTTTATTCTTTGTATGTTTGTTCTTTTAACCTTTTCTTTATTCTTTGTGGCGGATTCGTAGGAAAACCAACACTTTTTAAACATTTCTGTCAAACGGGTTTTTGCGAGCAACTTTTTCGAACTTCTGCGACAACGGTTGCGCACCTGCCAGGGCCATCATCCCTGTCAAATAATACCATGCGGGACACATTCGTTTTTTGCGCGGAATAAGTGACCAAGTTCTGTGGGTGTGTACCCCACGCCAGTGTAGTAGCCACGGTCGTCCGCACGCCACGAAGTGAAGTGTCCCAACGTCATAGGGCGGGAAGCTGGGGTTGGGTGGTCGCGAAGAGTCGTTGGGTGATTTGGTAGAGCTGTAATGCCCCCCCACGAAGTGGGGGTATTGCCTGGTGTCGTATGAAAACCCTGGCACTGGGGAGAACACCACGCGTTCGGGTAAAATGATTGTTGTTGTTGTTGTTGTTGTTGTTGGGGGGCTGGTTTTGGCGGTCCCCCAAACCGCTCGAGCGTGAGCCTCATTTTCATGTAGCCGGCGCCTCGGCGAAAGCGCCAAAACGACGTTAAGGGGTCCAACAATAACAATTGCATAGTAATGAACATTCAACAACAACAACAACAACAACAACAACAACAACAACAACAACAACAGCAACAACAACAGCAGCAGCAGCAACAACAACAACAACAACAACAACAACAACAACAGCAACAGCAACAACAACAACAACAACAACAACACCAACAACAATAACAGCAACAACAACAACCCACACCGCGGAACCTCAGTTCAGCCACGCGCCCAGGGACAGGAAATTACCGTTTGGCCCCCTCACTCTGACCATGAGATTTCAGAGCTCCGCCGCTGGCGCGCTCAGCGCGCCGGGGAGGGGGTCCAGCGCCGATCCCGGAACTCCGCGCGGAGCTCTCAAAAGGTTGTGTTTATGCCACTTTTCGCTCCTCGACATATGGCCGTGCAGCGTGGGCTGGCCGGCAAGCGTGCTCGAGGCTCCTGCCATGACTCGCTGCGACCAAACCATCGCTGGCAGCCCTCCTTGCATGGTCGGCGCGGCACGCCATCCGAGTCCAAGGTCCCAAGCGTCGACGTCCAGAGCCTGTCCCCGTGTGCCACCTCGAGGGTCGGGCCCCCGGGCCGCGACCCCGCAGATACGGTGCGTCTTTGCACGGATGCCCCGCGCAGAGCGCATCCGTGCGAACGCGTGTCCGCGGGATCGCGCCCCGGAGTTCAGACCGCGAGGGCGCGGATGCGGATGCGTTCGCCGCTCGTTGCAACATCGCTCGTGAGCTCTGACGTTGCAGAAAAATGCAACATCCTAACACATCACGAACAGAACCCAAGTCCCCATCTTTCTGGGCATGTTTCGAGCCTGCTCTACCTGTAAGGGTCCCGGCGCCCGAAACCGGACGAAACTACCATTTGTGCAAAAATTGCGACGCAAGGATCTCGAAGGCGGAGGAGGAGGAGGAGGAGGAGGAGGAGGAGGAGGAGGAG